GCTGCCTGGCGTTAAAGTTGCCTGGGAGGCAGCATCCAAACACACCCTATCTGCGGCTCCAACCAGTCCGCCTCACCATCCTATCCGTTCTTGGGTTTGTATCGTTTAATAATCCCCTCCATCTCTGGTCTTGTACTCTTGTCATCTATTTTGGTATATGGTAGTTCTACTAGTACCTGCCCACCGTATGTTTGATGAATTGCTGATATCCCAGCAGTAAGCAGTTGGGAATGATCTGCCAGATAGTTTAGCAAGTCCAGATATGAAAATATGATAGATCAGCGTACTACCTTACATGGTTAATTATCTGGACCATGGATCAAAAATTCTGCTTATGTCCTTTTCATGTGAAAGGTAATCGTGTTCAAACTTCTTTTGTACCATTTATTTGCTGGATTATATATTAGAATATAATTGTTACGTGATACACCGTGTGTGTGTGTATATATATATATATATATATATATATATATATATATATATATATATATCATATTTTAACTCACGGTGATATTTACCATAATGTTATACTGACTGGAGTATATAGTAGGAGTAGTAATTATATGAAAGTGATATAAATCGCCGAATATATATATATATATATATATATATATATATATATATATATATATATATATATATTTCACGATCATCAGAAGAAGAAAAGGATGAAGGCAGGATATCTCGCACGAACCTTTCCAGGATAATGTGGTCGGGCGCGAGGTTTCTTGGAAGATGCTTGAACATCTATAAGCACATGTTGAAAATAGAGCCCCTTGCAGCAACTACCAATTACTGCCAAACATCATTTTGCTGGGCTGTCTCTTTAGACAGCGACTCTTTGATGGTTACCGCTTTGTACTTTTTCCCTTTTTTGAGAGGAAAAGGTTTGAACATTTCTAGCTTGGTGAAGCCTCCCTTTCAAGTTTTAAATATTTTTTTGGACGCTTGTTAGGTCATCATTATATCCAACCACAGCATCGAAGCACAGAGTTACCCTGTTTTAGTAGGATCTCCCTGTACAATCTTCAATTCATATGCAGCCATGTGGAGCCAATATCTAGCGACTGGAACCGAGTTATTTTGTTTCTCCATACTAGATATGACGTACCGACAAAAGTTCATAGTGCCATAATCTAAGGGCGTGTTCTTTTCTATGGGAGAAGGAACTAAAGACTAAATTTTAGTTCCAATTAGTCCATTTAAACCAAACACCAGGGACTAAAATAAGGACTATGGACTAAAATATAGTTGTTCCTCAAGGGGCTGCCAATTGGGACTAAATAGTCCATATCCCTCCTCTCTCTCCTCACTCGCAGCCTCTCTCCTTCCCTTTATTCTCTTTTAGTCCCTGAAATAAACACTATTTTAGTTTCTATTTTAGTCTCCAGTCATAGGAGAGAAAAAAAACACGCCCTTAAAAATCAAACAAGAACGCGTGAGATTCCTTTGGGTCTGTGACCCCATTTCAAAAGAAAACATAGGAATTCACGCATCACAGATAAAAGTACAGGCATTTATAATGAAAATGCATTCATGATTCAATTTTTACCATCAGAGGTATAAACGGACGTTTCTTAAAAAAAACTTGGTAATTACCATGTGACCTATAGTCCAAAGTTAGGTAAAAGAAAATCCAAAGAAATCCTATTTGTTACAGTGATTAATTTGTTGTACTTTTTAATTAATCTAATCCGGCAAGTATCACGGAGTGTTTGGTTGCACTTTAGGATACACTGTGTATGATGGTTGCCGCTGCTAGGGACAGATCTTCCGGTGGGACGGATCAAGCCCTCCTACCGCCGCTGATTCCACGGAGTTCCCCTAGAGCCTTTCAAGAATTTTTGCCATATAGTTGCTTTGAGGAGGAGAGACTGAAGATTGAAGATTGAAGATGAAATTTCATCCTAGATCCGTCACTAGCTGTTATGAGAGTGATATCCTATCCTGTACGATGGCTATTGAGGAAGGCTATAACTGACAGTAGAACACTCCCTATATAAATATTGCATACCTTCAGCTAACTATTTGGTCAAGACAGCAATAAAAACCCGTACAAGTACAATCTGTAAAAAGAAACTCTGCATCTCTAGTTCATGCAGCGGACGAAGGGCCTGGTTGGTACAAATTATAGGTTGTTTTTGGTTAAAATATACTAAAATTAAATGCCAAACGTTATGTTTTTTATAATTTTTTTGACCACGCTTCTTTCCATAACACCCATTTTAAGTTGGGTCAAACTAGCGTATTTTAAGCGTGCTTTTGCTTCATTTGTGCATCTTTTCAGAGAAACATTTTTTTACCACTCTGTCAAACAGAGCCGAAGATTACCCCTCTTTTATATCCAAAGAAATATGAAAAAGCAATCGGGCTAATTCTTGCAAAGCTAAATTAGTTTAAATTTGTGCCCACTAGCACTAAGGAATAAAATTTCAATCCCTTGCACGGACTTGAAACCGAAATTTGAGATAAAGCAGTATCTCTGCTTCGATGAGGAAAGTTTTCAGTAAAACTGCGGTGTGGTGTTATTGCTTCTATATTCATGTTAGTGGAACGTTTTTGCTGAGATTTTGTAGTGCATCTTTTAGAGAGAAAAAAGAAAGAAAGAAAGGATTTTTAATGTAACTGAGCTTGTTTTTTTAGCAACTAATGTAACTGAGAACTATTACAGGGAGCGTTAGCACGGGCTTTTTAGGTTGGTCTTATCCATACTTTTTTTGGCGGGGCGACACGAAAGCGGGCCTTGGTAATTATATACACCCTCACCGTCTTATATAGGAAAAAATTCATTTTACCTCTTTGAACTGTTATTAAAGTCTAGTTTTTTTCCTTGAACTCCAAAACCGACCACCTCCCTCAACTTTTAAAGCCGTTTATTTTACCTCCCTGACCCGGTTATAGGTGGTTTTCAAAAGAGGTTTTGTCTATATATATATATATATATATATATATATATATATATATATATATATATATATATATATATATATATATATATATATATATAGTTAAACTTTTGAAAAATAATAGTAAATCACAGAAAAATCATAAAATAGAAAATCTAATTTTGTTGGACTCCACATGAGTAGATCCACACAGTGAATATATAATATAGTATGCTTTAGTACAAAGTTTTTTTTTTCGTAGCTTTAGATTTATGCTTTTCTATAATTAATTCAAAGCTAATGATTATATGATTGAATTGTAGTAAAAATATCATGCTCATTAGATCTTGTATAACTGAGTTATATATTTATTTAGTTTTATGCTTGTTAAATAGTTTCAAAATAGTTAAAAGTGTGTGAAAATAGAAATGAGTATGAAATTTTTACTACAGTTAAAGCATACAATAATTAGACCACCATAAAAAATTTCACTACAATTGGACCATAGAAACTGCAGCTATGAATTAATTACACAAAAGCATAGATCTAAAGTTACAACAAAAACTTTGTACTAAAGCATACCATATTATATGTTTACTGTGTATATCTACTCATGTGGAGTCCAACAAAATTAGATTTTTCATTTTATGATTTTTTTTTATTTGCTATGATTTTTCAAATATTCAGCCAAAATAAATTAAAAAAAAAACAAAACCACTTTTGAAAACCACCTATGAACAGATCAGGGAGGTAAAATGAACGGTTTTAAAAGTTGAAGGAGGTGGTTTACCCGATTTTCAAGTTCAGGGAGGAAAACTAAACTTCATGGATAGTTCATGGAGGTAAAATGAACTTTTTCCTCTTATATAGCAACAAAATTATCCAATTGTATATGGACTAATATGTGGGCTAGCATGTTAGCCACAATTGTTCGGAGTCCACATCATGGGCTTTGGGCCGTCGAACTGCGCAAAACCCTGAAGACTGAAAAGACTGCACAGCTAAATTGGGTCTTCCTAAAAAAAGTTCTGGGTCAATTGTCTCAAAAGAAGAAGAACAACAAGAAGAAAGAGAATAAACTGGGTCTCTGGAAAAAAGGCTAAAATAACCACGAGCAATCTAGGCCACGATGACTGATCGGTGTCCAGAAGAAGATGGCCTATGAAAGAACCACTTGGTGGGCTGGTGACGAGGAGCGACGTAGGGCGTGACTGGCTCAGTTTGCCCACCTGGCCTGGCCAACAAAATAAACCAGGTCAGCCTGATCCTGTTGTGTGCAACGCAAGGTTAGAAACACCATTCCTTTAGTCCAGCATAATTGGCCTTTGCAAAAGATTGCACGCCCATGCCAAAGCTTGATGCTCTTTCATAGTAGCTTTCAAGCTTTGCGAAAAGCATATCGAATAAATCAAAGCACAGAAGCCACGGTATCTCGTGGACACCATCATCAGAATCATCTCCATGCTTAACCAAAGGTGAGCACCATCATCACCAACAAATCCAAAGCAAACAGAGGGAGACAGATTCTTCTTCTTCACACGATTCACAAAGCCAAAGCTCGGCATCATTTCCTACCATGCTTTACAACGGTAATACCCTGTTCTGTACAGTATATCAAAGCAAGCATACACAGTAATCTAATGCATGAAGACGGGGTCCTGAAAAGGTAGACAGCAGTAATCTTCAGCAAAGTACAGTTACTTGGGGGTGTGCCCACTAAGGCAAGCTTGATCGTAGCACAGGTGGAGTTCCAAGTCACAAATGGCAAAAGGTAAGCCAGACAACATGATGGCAGCAGCATCCAAAGCTTCACCGCATGACCACCATGACGAGCAGGGATACCAGAAATCAAGCATCAGAATCCCACAAACAGTCTTTTGAGGCCTGCTGAAAGTAGCAAAAGCAGGATACCTTGCTTCCCTACCATACCCAGAAAAAGCCAATTCAGGAATAATGATGATAATGACCAAACTGAAGTCCATATATATACAAATGCAGTCTTGGATCCTTAAGATTTTGATACCACTATGTTGATGGCCACTTCTAAATACCCGAGTTCTCCATGCTGAGTTTCTTTGATTCCATCTTGAGGAACTTCAGATATCTAACAGCTTCCTACAGGACAGAAGAAGTATCCAGTTGATCTCCATCAGGGATTATACCCCTAAGAACTGTGACCACGTTCCTGATCTTCTCATGAGTTACATTTTCCATGGATCCATAGCAAACTGAACTGTTTCCAGAAACTTGACTAGTTGTCTTAAACCTTGGCAGTGAAGATGATTCAAAGGGACCACTTTCCAAGGGATCCGGAGTACGCCCGGTACTCACAACATCATCTTCATCGCTGTCATAATCAGAGCTCAGTAGTGCATCGATTTCTTCTGTATCCTCCTTGAAAGATGAGGACTGTTCTTCGAGATTGCCATTGTCTTGGCCTGAACTTCTAGAAACCATCTCACCATGGCATTGGAGCAAATCGATGTTTGCGGGGTTCAGATTGTTCACCAAGGCTGGATGATACATGATGCATCCTTTTTCATCAGTGTGATTAAAGATGATGAAATTTCTGGGGCATACCTTGGAAGGCTGGAGCTCAAATGCATCAAGTGGGCTTCGGATGTGAGGGCTTGTGATGCCCGAAGGGACTGCTAAGGCAGGTGAAACAGGAACGCTGTGGTTGCACTGAACACCCAAAAGTCCATTTGCCATACAATTATCCGCTTCATATCCATAAGCAAAGGAGGAATTTCCAGCTAAAGATGTTGGATCCCTCTGCATCGGTAGATGGCCGAAATTGGACCCAAGCACACTATGACAGTAATGTATGTAATCTACTTGATTTGGTGCTGTGAACTGCCCAAAACAACCAGAATTCTAAAATGTGATTGCAGCTTGCAACAGAAGACTAAATATATCCTACCGCGAAGTAGCCATCACCATGACTGCACTGCTTTGTTGTTGCAAATTTCTATTGACACCAAACCTATATAGCAGACTGAAAAACAAAACCCTGGTCCTGTGTTTACACTACGTCACAGGCTTAAGCAACTGACGGAAGTACTCAGCCTGCAACAACAAGGTTCAGAAAGAGTAATCAAATAATCAAGGACATGGATAATTTTAAAAGAACATGTAAATTGGATTTTGAGTTATATATATTTGATACAGATTCAGATCACTTGAACATTTGAAAGTAGCATATCTACATACTGTTGTATTAAAGGTAAAATACGTTGTGCGTTAATATCTTTATCAATAGAAACACTGCAATTAGAAATGGAACCAAGAAATACTGACTAAAAACATTGTCTTGTGCAATACTGCAATTCAGGGAAATAAATCTCTTTGACCCTGGCTGTTCCACAAAATACATTTCAGAACCCAACTTATTTAGCTATCCATAACTAAATGACTTTCAATGGGACCCATCAGTACTGATGGATGATTGTTTTAACTGATATACCAAGATTATCATGATGGACCAAAACAAATTATCTAAACTTAGCCGTTGAAAGACTATATTATATATTTTATTTTCTATTTGAGAACATTTATGCTTTATTTTGGAAACAGGAACAAAATAAATAGCTCACCTGGCACACTTCAATAAGCTGGTAACAAGCAAAGATCCTAACATTCATTACTATTCTTCCCACTTCCTTCACAACACGAAATCTCTTAAGCTCAACCTTCACATACATTCTCAATCTTTTCACACTTGAGTCGTCAAGAATAGAGAACCACTAGAGGAAAAAAGGAGTTTTGTGGAGATACAGCCACCTTACCTGTAATGCGAGCCAAACAGGTCAGAGTGCATTTTACACTAGGGAATATTCAGATGAAGACCATAGGAACTGCAATTTGGAGAAGAAGTGCCATACACAATAACTCGGAAAAATACAACAAGGCAGATGGACTTTCGGCTACTAGGGTACGACGAGTACAGGGGTGTCCACGGCATACTGTTCGTCAATGCTCAACTTGTGTTATATCCCTTGTGAACTGCGAATCTGTTATTACATTCAGAAGTAGTAGCAGAGAAGTGAGAAGCTCATATGTATACGATCATATATATAACACCAGTCACTGGAAATCCCCAAGTATGACATTTGCTACACAATTCATACATATTGACAGTAACTAACCAAACACAAAAAATAAAATAAAAGACCCACCTGAACTTCGAGAGAAATTCTCTTGAGAAAAGATGAATAACCACTTTCAGATCCCCAAGAGTACAATTTTAGACATCAGTGAGAACCTAGTAAAGGACATGCGTATACACATGCACACTCAATATTTTTTGCCAAGAAAAATCGAAACTATTAGGCATGTATACACAGTATATCAGATCCGAATACAAATAGACAAATAGCTTAAGCTAGTCCGGGTGCTCGGTTTCGCGCAGCAGGAGTGGAAGAGAAGGGATGCGCATACCTGGTGGGTGCCCGTCGCCGGCGAAGGACCCGACGGCCTAGCTAGTCACCTGGTGCAGGACGGCGGCAGCAGTCACCCAGTTGTCGCACGAGAGGCAGAGCGCGCGCAGGCGGCGTGTACCGTGAACGGGAGAAGAAAAGCACGGTGAACTCGAGGGGCTGTTTGGTTAAAGATCATCTCGGGCAGACGAGCAGGCAGCAGCTCTTATAATGAGTTCTTTTCCTAATATAAAATACCATGAAGGTGATTACGAGGAAAAAAAACTCACTACGTCCTGAAACAACAGCACTTTTGGCACTACGTCCTGAAACATAATGTGCCGAACTGTGATAACAAAGGCGCAACGGAATAATCAAAATTAGCAAACTAATTTCTCACAATCATAACTCCAAACACCTTGTGTCCATGAATTAAAACAACCTCTAAAAATAGACCCGTCAAACCAAGAGAATAGGTCCTCTATCAAAACCATACTGAGGGAGTCTACCGGACTTTTCTAATGGCCCACCAAACAGTTGAAAACAACGATGATCAGACCAGAGCGGTTATTAGAGGGACGTAAGCTCCGGTGAGTGCAACATCACTACACCAAGGCATTTTTTTTCAAATGCGCTAACTCCAAAGAGTGTCCCCCGAACAATAACACATTTAGCACCAAGTTAGCATTTTAAAAATATTTTAAAAATGTTTTCTCTTGCTTCTTTGCCATGCACTAGATCTAACACATATGCATTGTTGGTCCTCACTAAGTCGCATTAGATAACCATATTAGTCAAAGAATTATATGCTTTATAGTATGATTATCTATCATAAACCCATTTGGTTGGATTCTTTATCGATTCACCCGAATTTAAGTTCTCAACTTGGTGCCGACGCTCGTATTTTTTGAATTCATTCTAGAATTTAATGACGCCATCCTTTTAATGGTAAACGAGACGCCTATGGTGAGTTCAACAATTTCAAGATTCGTCAGCTCAGTCTCTTAGACGTGCTCATACGAGTGTTCATAGCATTAGCATTATGCCAAAAAAAATATGATGGGCATAAAAAAACAAAATGTTCTCACTTTTCTTGCCTCTATGAGAAGAGATCCGCTATATTTCAGGTGCCTGAAATATGGTTAGTTTTCAGGCGATATGCAGCATCCAACGATCTACACATGTGTTTACTAAAGCACTCAACTCAAAGCACGGATCTTGAAAAAAAATGGATGGACCCACATCGGCTAAACAAAACAACAAATTCAGGCGACTAACACATAGGAAATGTGCTATGAGAAACACGAGACCTCTAATGGAACATGGATGTGACTATAGTAGGCAACATAATGTAAGCAACCAAATATAATCTTATCAAACACGGTTTGCCTACATGACAATAAAACACCTATGTTTATGATGACTTGAGTTAGGCTGAATAAGATCTAACGTGGATTGAGACTAATATACACAAACCAATTACATCCGTAGAATCCGTGTTGACTTAGGAGTCACGACGCAGAGGAGACGGGGCTGAGTGTACTTAGGTTAGTGCTCTGCCTTCTTGGCTTCCAGCTGCCTCCGTATGACCTAGGTTACCTCATCTTCTTTTTCTACAAGTGTAACTGCTTTTGTAACTTTAGCCTGTTTCATGGCTTGTGTGTTTCTGGGTGTGATCAGGGTTTCTTTGCATTTTGAACATTCAAGACTGACACTCTTATGGTAAATTCCTCTTGTTGTATTATAAAATTGCACGCCTTCTTATTTGCTCAAGACTAATACTACTGTTTTGGCTTTGCCTGACTCTAAACTACTTTGTAGCTTTCCATCTATATAGAGACTGATGCCTCATGTATTGTATGTCGATAAAATGGGCTCAAAACCAGATTTATTCAGTTACATACATAATGCTAAAGTATGTGTAGATCGCCTTTTTTTAATCACATATACTACATCTGTATAGAAAAAAAATTAGTAGTACCAAACAAGTCAAATTATCTTAAGTTTGACCATACTTATATAGAAAGTATCAATATTTATGATACCAAATAAGTACAATTAGATTTGTGATAGAATATATTTTTATAATATACCTATTTGGTTACACAAATATTGATACTCCTTTTTCTATCAACTTAATCAAATTTAGGAGAGTTGATTAAGGATAAAAATAGAATTGCATTGTTTTCAAGACAGAGGTGGTACAGTTCTTGTATTGGTAATGCTGGGTCAGGTTGTCCGGAGGACGGATGCGGCTCCCTAGAATTTTCTTCACTCGCTACCACGCCATCCGCTCGCTCCACCGCACCGCCCGCCTCCACCGCGTTGCCTGCTCGCCGTCACCGCTCCATCGAGCCGGCAAGCCTCCACGACAGATGCTCTAACAAGTAGGCGAGGGGAGGAGCTTCGTGTTACACCGCCTCGCCGGTGAGTTGTCCGCGCTGTTGCAGCACCGGCGAGCTCCGTGCCGCCATGAGCTCCACGTGCCGTCGCCGACCTCCGCGCCGGCGTCGAGCTCCGCAATGACGAGCCTCCATTCGCCTAAGCAGCAAGGTGACATTGGTTGAAAGCGCATGTTGCATGTGTATGTTTCAAGTGTTTCAGATGTTTTATAGGGATGTTGGAAGTGTTTTATATCGATGTTGTAAAAGTAGATCGGGATGTTGTACATGTTGCAATGACTATACACGTATGCTTCAAGTGTATGTTCCAAATGTTTGATCTGTTTTCAGATGTATGTTGCAAGTGTTTTATCTGGATGTTATAAAAGTAGATGTGGATGTTGCATATACATGCATGTTGCAAGCTATGTTTCAGGTATTTGATACATATGTTGCAAGTGTTTCATTTGGACGTTGCATATGTTTTTGCAATGGCTACACACATGTTTTTAATTTTTTTCTGGTGTCTTGCAAGTGTTTCAGTCATATGTTGCAAATGTTTCAATTGTTTTCGAACGTATGTCATAAGTTTTTCATCTGGATGTTGCACATGTTGCAACGGGACCCACCTGCCGTAGTTGCTAGGGCACTAGAACCAACGTGGGTTTTGCGTGCGGGCGCAGTGGTCAGGCGAAACAGAGCGAGCGTGATGGAATGATGGTATGCAGCATGGGGTCCACGCGGTGGAGCGCACAAAAACAGGCGGCGCAGGCTCATTTTGCGTGCAGCGTGGCCTCCTGTGCAAAGGACGGGAGTCGTCCAATATTTTGGAGCGTCTCTGGACATCCGGGCGCTAATAACGCCCATCTTGTATCACCTCACCTATTATAGACCGTATGTGATATCTCGGGTGTGTCTTAATTAGAGGTTGGTAAAAAAGTATTTTATATGATTTATATTCCACTGAATCGCGATCGGTATTGACGAATCAGGCAATATGTAGGATAGTAAAACCTCAGAGGCAGTTGACACGACCTATGTGTCCATGACCTTTTTTTTTTGTTAATGGGGGATGATCGGCGTGCATGCTATGCTGCCTCCGGGGGGCCAACGTTTCCTTGTGGAGAGTGACATGGTACGTAACTTATTTCCCTGTCGCGATCCGGTGTTGACTCCTCGCACGCGCGATCCTTCCTTCCTCTTGGGCGTCTTGGCTGCCGCCCCCGGCTTGCCAACGTCGTCGATCGCGCAGTGCGCCCCCCACGCGACGCGATGCGACCTTTTCGATTTCGTCGGCCGGGGGCCGCATACAACGGGAGGAACTGCGGTGTGGCACCATCCAGGTTGCTATCAGCAACAGCGGAAACACGCCGGCTGGACGAGTAGACAACGCACGCCTGCAGGTCAGGTCAGACAGTGTGACACGTGCGCGAGAGTCCAGAGGCTCCTCTCCACGATCTGGAGCTGGTTGCTTCTCTGAGTAATCTGGAGCATGATTAGGTTTTTGACGCCTGGCGATTAATTCAAAGGACACATCGGGTGCCTGGCCATGGAACCTGATGGATGGATGGCTGGCGTGCGCTAATTGGTCTGCGATCTGCAGGACCCTTTCTGCTTCGGTGTAATTTGATTGATTCGACGCGCTTGTGTTGACCGGAGCTATAGATGGCCATGCAGCCTGCTGCCCGATAGTCCGACATGAAGCCCGCTATTTTGATCTGGTCCGAGCACGGGCTGGCCCAGTGAGCAACGGGCCCGTGCCAGCCCGGTCCGCTAAATTGTCACAGGCCCGATGAAGGCCCACAGCCTACCAGGCCATCACCCACCATTGGTCCAATCCTATCCTTGTCCATAGACTTACTCGGCCACTGTCTAATTCGAGCATCGCTATCTTTCCCCTCCCCATTCACAGATTCGCTGGTGGAGTGCCGTAGCTTACCGTGTCTGCTGCCTTCTTCTCTCCCCGCTCCCCACATTGCACCCTTCTTCTCTCCCGCGGCTGGCCGCTTCTTCTTCACTCTCCGGCTCTCCAAGCCACGCAGGCCTAGATTTCCTCCGCCCACCTCCATGGAGGCTGCCGCCCTGCAGCAGCTATACCCGCGTCCGCGCTCGGGCTGCTAGGCTAGCATGGCCCGCTAGGAAGCTCGAGCCTTTCAGGCCGGCCCGGCCCAAAAAATGGCCCGACAAACCGTGCTTGGGCCGAAGGCCAGGCCCGTGGCCCTAAGAGGCATGGCTCGATGGAACACGACGTGCCGTGCTGGCCTGACCCCTTTAGGCCGTGCCGGGCATGGGCCTGTGCCATGCCGGACTGGTCCGGCCCATTGGCCATCTATTCGGGAGCCATCCCTTTGATGACGATCCAGCAGCGACCACCGAAAGTATGGTCATCTCACATCTGGAAAAGGGTCAGGGGCTTGTATGTCTTTTCTGTTGTTGTGAATTGTGATGATGAGAATTGAGATGGCGCTTATATGCTCGTGCGCAATACAGCCTTCCTTTGTTGTCGACAGTAGCAACAGAACTAGGAGCGCTCGAGGAAATTTCTATATAGCCCAACAGAATTTAGCAGCGCTCGATCTATTTTGTGATCATGAGCCGGCACGACGACGGAGTATGGACATCTCACATCTGGGCCAACAACACGAACGACGGCCCTGGTCCAGTTCGGACTTTTTTTTTGACGATCCAGTCGGGGCTTGGGACTCGAGACTTGCCAATTAGCGGAGAGTTTCTAAAAAAAAAAAGCTGAGACATGCCTCCATTCCTTTCCTTGTATTCTTGCATTTATAAAAGTAGACGATACTCTACATGTTGCTACGGAGGTTAAGAAAAAATAAAATAAAATTAGGTAGAGATGACATGAATAACCTATATTAAGAGGTTGGAAGTTAGTGGCATGACATGTCTATTAGTGAAAGATGACGTGGATAGTTAGTGGAACATGATGTAAATGTCTTACATGTTGAGATAAAACTTGAGATGACGTGGATAGCTTATAATAAGAGGCTGAAAGTTAGTGGCACGACGACATAGCTATTAGTGGAACATGATGTGGATCTTTTGAATGTTGAGATAGTATTTGAGATGACATGAATAGCTTGTATTAAGAGGCTGAGTTAGTGATATGACATGGCTATTAGTGGAAGATGACGTTGATGTCTTGTATGTTGAGATAGATCATGCAGTGATGATTAGCTTTATAAGAGATATAGATATAGATTTAAAATGTGTAGTAGTCCACTGAATCATTGTAGACTAAAACATATGTAATTCCAACGGCTCCACTGACATGCCTATTATGTTGAAGTTGATGGCTGGATAGAAAATGATGAGTAACAAACGTAACAAAAACATGACACAGACTGTCAAGCAATCAAAAGGTTCGATTCGACAAGGACACCAACATTATGCCATGAACCTCCAGACAAATTCGCGAAATCAGCAATCACAAGCGACCTAAAATTTAACCATTTCGATCGCTCTGCTATTATATTGCTGCTCTGCTGCTTCCCTTTAATTTCCACAGCCAGCAGTCCAACACGGTACGATCGAGCAAAGCCATGGTCAGCTGCGTGGCGCTGCTCCGCGAGGCCTCCCCATCCCCATGGAGCGTGCTCGGCTGTGTGGCGGCGGTGCTGGTCCTGTGGTGGGCGGCGCAGGTGCTGGAGTGGGCCTGGTGGGCTCCCCGGCGAATGGAGCAGATCCTCAGGGCTCAGGGCCTGAGTGGCACCCGGTACCGCTTCCTGTGGGGCGACCTCAAGGAGGAGAGCCGGCTAACGGCGGTGGCCCTGGCCAGGCCCATGCACTCGGACCGGCCCCACGACGTCTTCCCGCGCGTTTCCCCTCTCCTCCACCGTGTCCTCGAGGAGCATGGTATATATGCATTTTAAGCTGCAATCCGATCATTCTGTTCAAGTGACCAAAACTGTGGCATGCTGCTGAACTGAAACAAACAAAAGTGCAGGTAAACTCTCGTTCATGTGGTTCGGGACGACCCCAAGAATTACAGTCACTGACCCTCAGCTGGCCAGGGAAGTTATGTCGAACAAAGATGGCTGCTTCGTGAAAACGAAGATAACCACTCGTGTCACCAAGCTTCTGTTTGGTGGGGTTGCGATTCTTGACGCCGAAAAATGGGTCAAGCATAGGAGGATTCTGAATCCGGCCTTTCATGCGGAGAAGCTCAAGGTTTTTTTTTCCTCTTTACTGAAATACATACCTTGGGGCAATCTTTGATTTGCGATGTTTAGTTTGACACCATTGCACTGATAATTTCCAAACGTAAGTTTAGTAAGAGACGCTGATGCTATCATTGTTGACCTTAAAATGTAGAAATCATGTAGTATGATGGCCACTGCTAGAGAAAAAGGATGGTCAATTGATCTAGTTATGTGCAGAAACAGCTTATATTAATTTGTGCTAGCTGCCTTCCTGTATTATATTAACTGTAAGTAAAGTTTTGTGATCGATTTGCAAACATCTTGACGTGCTGCTTGATTTGAAGTTGATGATTCAGTAGATCACAAAATTTGAATTGGGTTTATGGAAACTAAGTGGCCTACTCCTTACCACTGATAAAGCCTTATCTTTTAACACAAATGTTGTGCTAGTAAACACTAAGCCAGGTCGTAATACAAGTAAGAAGAAAGATCGATTTATTTCCCTGAGTTTGGTTTCTTGGAAAATTTTAACTATTTTAGAAATGGATGCAGGGGATGTTGCCGGCGTTCTCTGCAGCTTGCAGCGATCTAATTTGCCGATGGGAGAACTTAGTTGCTGATTCTGTCGGAACAAAAGAGCTGGACGTATGGTCTGAATTCCAAAATTTATCAGGGGATGTCATATCAAGAGCTGTTTTCGGTGTCAGCTACCAAGAAGGCAGACGAATTTTCCGACTTCAAGCTGAACAAGTTGTTCGCGTTACCAATGCTTTCAAAACAAATCACATCCCAGGCTTCTCGTACATCACTCTACTACTCCATAATGCTTATTACTATCTCACATTTAGCCTGTAGACGTTTCTAGTAATCCTTAGATCTCACATTTACCTTTCTCGACAGTCTTTTACCGACAGAAAACAACATAAGGATGAAGGCTATCGATAGGGAGATCAAGACGATCCTAAGGGGAATAATAGAGAAGAGACATGAGGCCATGAAGAACGGTGAACCCACCAAAGATGACTTGCTCGGCATTCTATTAGAGTCAAACATGAATTACACAGATTCAGATGGAAAATCCAGCCGGGGAATTACCCTAGAAGAAGTGATCGAAGAATGCAAGCTGTTCTACTTTGCAGGAACGGAGACTACCGCGGTCCTGCTGACATGGACAATAGTAGCCTTAAGCATGCATCTGGAGTGGCAAGATCAAGCCAGGGATGAAGTTTTGGAAGTCTTTGGGCAAAACAGTCCAGATTTCAGTGGTGTTAGTCGCCTAAAAGTTGTAAGTGTTAGTGCGACTATCTTATCTAAGCATTATTTTTTGTTGTTTGATTGATCTTGTACTTTTGCAACAGGTGACGATGGTGTTGTATGAGGTGCTACGTCTTTATCCTCCGGCGTTGTTTATTAACCGTCGGACGCACAAGCAGACAGAGCTTGGAGGCGTCACGTACCCACCGGATGTCATGCTTGTGGTGCCCATCATGTTCATCCACCGGGACCCTGCCCTTTGGCGGCACGACGCCGGCGAGTTCAACCCGAGGAGGTTCGCCGAGGGCGTGTCCAAGGCGTGTAGCGACCCGGGCGCCTTCATCCCCTTCAGCTGGGGACCCCGCATCTGCATCGGCCAGAACTTCGCGCTGCTGGAGGCGAAGTTGGCCATCTGCATGATCCTGCAGCGCTTCGCGTTTGAGCTCTCTCCGGCGTACGTTCACGCGCCCTACAACGTCCTCACGCTTCACCCGCAGCACGGCGTTCTGGTTAGGCTGCGCCGTCTCTGAACGAAGACCATCTTTTTGGTACCTCTCTATAAAGGAAGTGCATTTTGCACAATGCAGGTGCCAGGTGACAGAGATGGCAGTCATACTCGTATCTTGTGTAAAGAAGCGTCATCTTTGATGACTAGACTCAGTACTCAATAACATTTTCCCCTCTTTGCAAATTTCGTATTTGATAAATTAGGGATCACCGCTACATATCCGCCCATTACCACCGGTTTTAAACTGGACATCACTGTTGGACTTGAAATCGATCGTGGGGCAAGTGGTTGTGGTAGCAACCACTATCACTGACGCACGAATCCAAAACCGTACTAGCAGTCATAAACACGCTAAAACCGGTAGCATTACTTTGTTAGATCGAGATACCTTCACTACTTGTTCAAGCAGCTATCAGTTGACTACCTTCATAGACAAAAGCCGTGTGAAATTTGAGTGAATGCATTTTAAGAAAATGCAAACACATGGTGCATATGTGCCCACGTGAGTTGATGATGAGTGATTGTCAAGGGTGAGGGAGCCTTGGTTTAGTTTCTGAGACTAACCATTGCGTGAATTGGTATTGTGCAACATATTTCTTGTCTTGTGATGTGTATGTATGGAGCATTGAGACGGTCGATGACAATGGAGAAGGTCAAGTGAGTTCGTGCTAATGGACTGGGAGTGGTAAATGATGGATATGGAAGCTTGGACCGAGGGACCGAGGGCCGGAGGACAGACCGTGGGTGGCTGACACAGTTGGGGACATCGACAAGCAAGTGTACATATGGAGATGATGTAGACGGTGTTCACCAAGTAAGACGCCGGTTGACCAAGTCAAGCGGGAGCACGAGGACTTGATGATCAATGGTCAAGAACAAGTGGTGACACATGTCGAGATTATGGAGGAAGCGTAGCGGACACGCGACTCCATCTGGGTTTGACAGTTTCGGCCTTAAAACCATGGGCGGTAGGTTTGCCGGGTTTAGACCTCGAAACTTAGGGGAGGATCTCGGAGCGGCACATGGAATCACTAGAGAGCTTGCATCGAGGTGAAGCATCTTTGTGAAGGGATCGTGGTCATCCGGTGTTCAAAAATCAACTTGGACCATTTTACCCCTGGGTTTAAGTGGTCCGGGGAAATTTCTAAGGGCAATCTTAGAATATATAATAGGCTCTATAAATAAGAACCGTGGCTGCCCCAAGACAACACTTCTCCCATCTAGTCATTTAGTTTAGGCTAGCCAGAGCATTCAATGTCTAGAAAGTCTGTTGTAGAGAGGGGTGACTGCGTTGAACGATTGATTTTCATCTGTACGTGGGAGGATGAAGGGAGGAGGTTAGACCTTGTCGATGTAAACTTGTTTTCCTGAGTATTCAATCAAGTTGACATGGTTTTGTGAATCAATTTGTCCCTTTCTATTTTCGATCTCTAGTTTTTGTAATTTAGGTGGTCATATTGAGCCTTTCTTGTGATATCTTGATTATGAGTTCTTGTGATTGTTTAGGGTTGTTCTAAACGTGCCATGACCTCTGAGAAACATCTCTAGACATTGGATTTGGCAGATTCCTCACGAGCACAAAGAATTGAAATTTTGAGGAAAGTTGAGAAAACCACAAGTGCAAAGGTGGATTTTATATCTAGATTGATTCTGAGGGTTCCAAGGGTTGATCTTTTGGGAAAAGTTTATAAACATCATTAGAATCATATCTAAAAAATCTGAGCTTAATTGAACTTCATTTGCTTGAATTTTGCCCTTTTGGAGTTTATTTTTGGATGCTGAAAACATCAAAGTGGGCTAGGCAAGGTTCAAAAGTAGGCCTAGCAAGTTTCAAAAGTAGGCCTAGCAAAGTTCAAAAGTTGGCCTAGCGAGTTTCCCAGGTTTGTTTTCCCGTTTCTTGCCTCCCAACTTCGTTCTTTGCTTCATTGCTTTTGTTTGTATATTCTGCTGTGATCGTTTAGTGTTTGTAAGTCCATCCAGTCACCAGTTGGCTTGTATGAACTCGATTTGGAGATTTTGCAGCTTTCGAGAGCTTGGGGTTGTTTTGGGACAGAGACCAAGTTTCTCTCGCTCGGTGAAGAACTTTTGAATTGGCACCCATTCACCACCCTGGTCGCTTGCTCAGTCCTTCAGAAAATGAACCTAATCAGTTATAACACCCTAAAATTTTGACCGTTTTAAAAATCATTAAAAATTTGAACTTTTTAATTTTTGCATAGGAGATTACATATATAGCTAACCTAAATATTTTTTTTAAATAAAATAACATAGGGACATAAAAATATATGTGTGAAACTTTGTGTGAATGATTGCGTGACTCGTTGAACTTATGGTGGCACCCTTTTTACACACTCATGCATTCAAATTTAACTTTGAAATCATTTAAACATGTGCATAATTGAGTTAGGAAATATAAAAAGGAATTGGAAATTGGAAAAGCCTCACGGGCTCATTCTCTCCCTCTCACTCCTCTCGGCCCACAGCAGCAGCCCAGCCCTTCTCCTCCTCCCTCCCTCCCGGCATGAGCCAGCCCAGCAGCGCCGTGGCCCAGCTCGGCCCGGCCTCGCCCGCTCCCCCTTCTCCTCCCTCTCTCCCCCTGATGCCCGGGCCCCACCTATTGGCTTTGTCCTCCTCGTGGCCGGCAGCCGTACGCAGCACAGCCGCGGCGTCAACGCCCGCCAGCGCCACCCCGGTGCCAGCGGAGGTCAGCGGAGGCACAGCAACAACGGGACCCCATGGCGCCCTCCTTTTTCCTCTCTTCTCCCTCTCATCTTTCATTGTGAACACGTCAATGGTCGGCGCCATGGTCGCCGCCATGCCAAGCCACCAGAGTACCCGCCAAGGCACTCCGGCAAGCGCATGGACGAGCGCCATCCATGGCGATGTGACCAAACGAGGTCAGCGGCATGCCCGCATGATGGATAAGGATGGCCATGAGAAATATCTCGCCGTCGGGACACCGGCCTAACTGGTCTATAAATAGGCCCGGCCGGGGACGCACTCGCCTCGCCCTCTCCACCACCAGCTCCGCCGAGGGCGGGAACATCCCATCTCCCCCTCCTCTTCCCCTTTCCCCTCCTCTTTCCCCTTTTCTTCCACATTTCTCCAATTTGGGAGTTCGCTCAGCGCCATCAATGCCGCCCCCTCTCCCCTCCTTCTTTGCTGCGTCTTTGGCCGATTGGAGTGACCGGTGAGTCCCCAAGCTTCTCTTCCTTTTGCTATAGCTAGTAGGTAGCTTAGGCCTCTGTGTTGCGCTACCCACGTGAGCCCCGCTCCGCCGAGCCACCATGACCGTCGGTCATCACCGACGAGGCCACCCCAGGGCACACCACCATCACCACTACACTCCTCTTCCGCCCGCACGCACGTACACGTAGTTAGTTGAGTAGAATAAGGCCTCTAGGGCTGAGTCTAGTGCACAGCACCGCTGCGACCACTTTGGTGAGCCGCCACTGCCGCCACGGGCACCCGTTGCCAACGACAACCCCGCCACTAGCTGCTGTGTGACCCCACGGACCCCGTCCACCCTGCATCCACCTCCCCCGAAGGCTGACGCCTCCGGCGTAAGCTGCTCTGGCGAGCCCTGCACCCCTCCCCTGCTCTGTTATAGGCGTGGGCACCTTCATTCACTACCGTTCCCCTCTTTCCCCTCCCCTGTCTCCACCAGGTGGGACCGGGAGGAAACGGTGTTGTCGTCACCCTCTGTCCCCGTCCGTCTCTCTCTCTCCTCACTGACATGTGGGCCCACCGCCTTAAACGTTGACACTGCCATCACTGCTGATGCATGCAGGTGGCCCACCTGTCACACACACATAGCGTGGGGTACGCTTTAGAAAATGCTAGGTACACCCGGCTAGTATACACAGAGAGTTAGAAATGCATTTTCCTAGCTTAGAAAAATTCCCAGAAAAATTGTAAATAAACTAGATGCATTAAGGAAATTAACCATGTTGTTTGCACCTATTTTTATGCACTAGAAAATGCATATAAAATTCACCCAAGTTAATTAGCTATAGAATAAACTTCTAAAATACATAACTTTTAAACCCTAACTCCTTTTTGCATGAAACCACTTCTAAAATTCATCTAAATTCAAACCCTACCATTTGCACCAAGTGCCACCATATAGTTCTATGTTTGCTTTTGTCTTTTCTTTCGGGCATTGCTGTAGTCTTATTCGACCGATACGTTCGATAGACGATGGTAATCGTCAAGAGGATGAGGACCCGAATTTCGTAGATGTGCCGGAAGGTGACAACGACGAAGGCAAGTCCTAGATCCCCTCCCTACCATCTTTCTTTAAACCACTAAAATGCTAAAACATGACTATGAGATTAGTACCCTAGAGAATGAGCTCGGTTAATGCGATATGATTAAAATAAATGGTTATCTTTTTATTTTATGAGCTCCACACCATGACTAGATTTAGGGATAAAAATGGAACCTAAAACTTGTTAAACCTGAAACTAAACCCTGACATGGGGCGAGTAGTGGTAAACTACGAAGGTAGTTTATCATGGCAGGGATGCCTGGAGAGGATTCCATTGGGAGATACTCGCCTCGATCACATAAGGACCAGTTCATAGTCTCTCTCACCTAGCGAGTTATTTCGTACAGCCACATGTCTATATGGGTAGGCTTGATCTCACACCCTGTTAGATAGAGATATAATATCTACTAGGAGGCCGGTGTAGGCAGCGGATTGTCAGGAGCTGATACAGATGATAGGTTTTCTTCCGTGTCATGTTGGCATGGATGCTATGTGATCTTCCACGTTAAGCTTTTGGTTTTTATACCGTGTTCGAGCCACTGTTTTCTTAGCCGTGTTCGAGCCATGTTTATCTTTTGTTGTGATTTGGTATTATCATGTTTAGGGGGATTTGGTATCTTCCCGATTTTGTGTTCCAACCCCTGAGAAGTCATAGTAGAGTTATATGGACATCTAAGGTCGCGTACATTTGGGTACAAGGTCTCATTAGGTCTATTTCGTCCACTGATCATGGATGAGCTTGCACCTATCGT